GTATAATTTTAAAATTATGAATGACAATAATCGGCACACAAGTCTAGACACAACTCGTGGGTCTCGAAGTGGTTGTTATTAGCGCCACAACCGCCGTATATGAAGGGCTCGCACCGGCCGGACGTGGAGTTACAGTAGTACTCATTGAAATACGCCCGACACAGACTAGTGTCCGGGTCAGACTCGCACTCTATTTAAGGGTTATAAAGTCATATATTTAAATGTGTGTAAATGCATTAATAGTACACTGTAAATATTATCATAAAATATGAATGTAATCTTTAGAAACTGTAATAGTTTTTATATTAATTAAAATTTATTATGCAAAATTTTGATAATATTTTATCTGGATTATAAATGACGATATTGTTTTTAATCATATGCTTGTTAAATTATTAATCTATAAATTATTAGATATGCCTAATAATATAAGTAGTTAATAATATAAATGTGTACAAATTTATACTAACCCCATGATTCAAAATTAAAGCCAGGATCGTTCAGTGCCCAATCGATATCATCGCTTGTTAGTTCAGGTTCAGTATTATCAGCCTGGTCATCTAAATCATTTTCCTGGCCATTTATACCCAATAATAATGTAACAATTATTAAACATTTAGTATTTAATAGCAACATATTTACGGATAACTTAACTCTTAGATAATAACTGAAACAGTAAAGGGTTTTAGTTATTAATTTAATGAGTTATTATTCAAATTATATATTTTTTCTATTGTTATTATATTAAATATAAAACTACAATATTTGTACTTGTTTAACACATGTTCAATTGTATATAATTTTTACATTGTATATAATTGGGCTAATTTTTATTATAAAGTTTTAGTAATTAAATAACAATATCTAAACAATATACAGTATATTTAATTGTATAAAAATATAATAAACTAAATAATTAATAATTAATAAAATTAAATTGATGGTTTTAAAAGCGGGGAGATTATTTTGAATTATGGAATAAACTACATTATATATAAAAACAAATTTACTCAAAATAACCCAAAAAATAAATGTTATGTTATTAAATATAAAAAATTTAATTATATTTATTTTTTATACAGTTCTTACATCTATTGTTTAAAATGTTATTTTAAATTTTTATGATTCTAAATTACTTTAAGTAACATATATTTAATGCTACTTTATATGGTAGAGAATAGATAAATTTAACAATAAAAATTATTATTTGTTATTTATAAAAACAATAGAAATAAAAACAAAACAAGTATAAAACATGTTTAACAAAAATAATAACAGTTAAGTATATCTATAAATGCGACTAATAAAAATATTAAAAATTAATTACTCAAAAATAAAAACATATCAATAATTTTAAATATTTCTACGATGTTCTGTTTGATTATTTACAGGGATGGACTGAATAGCATAAATGCATTTGCATTTGCATTTATGCAATTGCATTTATGCATTTGCATATTTTGCATTTTTGCATATATCTTTGCATATTTTTGTATTTTTGAGTATAAAATAAATTTCTACAGTAAATAAAAATATATTTTGATTAATTATAAATTATTTAATTAAATTAAA